AAGTAGCTGTATATTGAACATTTCTCATGCACTCCACAAATAAAATCCAATACGCGCGCCATCTTTGAAATAACATTCCCAGAATACCTCGCTTCCAGGTTCAGAGTTGTGAAAAAGTACGTACAAATATAAAAAAATCAAAATGATTTTAATAATGATAGTTTAATCAATGTGGACAATATACTGAAAAAGACAACAAACATAGACCACCTAACATTGAAATCCGTTAATAGAAATTACATTTAATAATCTATCAATGTAGTTATTCATTTGTATGGAAGCCTATTGCCGCCATTTCAGAATCTCGACTTCTCGCGCGAGAACACGAGAAGACGAGGGTGAGAACACGAGAAGACGAGGAAATAGGGCGAAAATACGAGGATCTCGCCCCGAGAACACGAGATTACTTTCACCTCGACTTCTCGCTCCCTCGTCTTCTCGCTCCCTCGCCTTTGCAAAAACCTTGTGTTCTCGCACTCTCGCCCTCGACTTCTCGCATTTGAAAAACCTTGACTTCTCATCTTCTCACTTCGTCACAATCTCGATTTCTCGCCTCGGTAGTGCAGTTTATACGCATGTCCACTGACTACCGTATTGGCATTTCTATTTGGACATGGATTATAATAAACGGAAATGTTTAAAGTTCTAGAAAATTTAATAGTCCTAAACAATTTTGATCTCTTCGCACAGATAGTATTGTATTCTGTAATTGATTTTAAGTCTTCAGTCAAATCTATCTTTGCTCTCTATCTTCAATTACCTTCATCGGGTTTTTTGATGCGTGGACTTGTCAGTGCTGTAGGATGTAGAGCCTGACAAGGGACAATGTATAGTCGTTCGGATGGAATACAAATAACCAAGATCCTGTGTCCAGAATCTAAATGAAGTGGGGACTACGGTGGCTCAGTGAGTAGGACGTTTACTCTCTAACTTCATCAAAGTGCATCGGGATTGTTCTGGAGATGTCCTCCCTTGTCAGTTGTGTAGGATGGAGGACAGGGGGCCTGGCAACGGATAACGTGTAGTAGTTCAGATGGGAAAAAAAAAACGGGGTCCTGTGTACACATTGGCTTCTGTCATTGATTCAAGTGGCTCGGTTTCGATTCGCCGCTTGAACGTGACAATGATTAGGATCGTCTGTCCAATCGTGTGGGTTTTCCCCGGGTTCTCCCCACTACTAAAGACCCCTAAACGCAAGCAAATTATTGAAATAAAATTGTTAGTCCCGGAATGACCTGGTTTGTGTCGAGTCTATCTCTCTCTCTTTCACACTCATTGGTGTCCACGTACAAAAACCATTTACCGTTAGAATTCGAATTAAGAGTAGGCCCTCGTAGCATACTGCATGACGTATATTCGCTTTCATTAGCTCAGTTGGAGAAGAATAGGTTTTGGTAACCGAATGGTTAACGCGTTCGCATTTGATCATAAGGACTGTCATTGAATCAACTGGCGGGGTATCGATTCCCCGCTTGTACGTGTCCGGGTCCTGAAAGTGTGCAGTCTGGTAGTTGATTCTGTGAAATATATAACATTTTGCCACCAAGGCTCATTTAGGTGGTTTTGATGCAGCCTGGACGTACCCTTTGATTAATAAACCCCAAAAGTTTGTCCCGAATACGGGTCATGAGAACTTTGCGGTGATATCTATATAAATAAAATCAAGTTGTGTATATATGTATGTAGGTATGTATGCATGTATGGATGTTCGCCCATCATGCTTCGTGGCCATGAGAACTTTGCGGTGATATCTATATAAATAAAATCTAAGTGTGTATGGGTGTGGGTATGTATCTTTGTATGTATTTTCGCCCATCACGCTTCGTCGCCACACTCTACCCACACATTATTATGTGGTATTAAATTAACCAGCATCACAACACGAATGTTTTTGGCCATTGAATTCGCGCCCCAGGCGAATTATGCTTCGTCGCCGCGCTCCACCCCCACATATCTCGTATCAAATTATGGGCCCCTGGCAAATTTGGGCTACAGGCGAACTTGGACCAAGAGCAAATTTGATCCCCGGGCGAATTTGGGCCTGTGTAGAGCTGGGTATCCTACGAGTAATTTGATAATGCATCATAGAAAGGTAATGAACAGTGGTATGTTCATAACTTATTCCTTCTTTTAATTTGAAAACATATTCTTGGAGCCACCAAAGCTAGTTAAAGATACATTATGGGAGATTTTAATAGAGAGTTGGCCATTCTTGCTATAACAGTTCAAAAATAGATGATAAAAGAAGAATATATTAAAAATTTCAGTCAAATTACTTTATTCTGAACATTTTTGACTAGAAATAGGAGTCAACTCTCTCTTCAATGTCTCTGAAAATGGCTGATCGTTTGATTGACACCACCTACATAATCTCGATTATCAAGAAACTTTTTCAATGGCTGTGGTACCGTTAGCCTATTCGGTTTGAGACGGGGTTGCAATTCAATTCGTATCACATTTATTTTTACTACAAATTAAAAATAAGACTTTTAATATATAGATAAGAAGGGAAAGTTTGAAAGGAATGGACCAAATCAATGAGGCATAAATATAGCCGACTTCTTATTAGCCTGCGTGTACTCTTGTACTGTAACTGGTAGGCCTACATAACTCCCGGAGCAGACAAATGGGAAACAGTGATCCAATGGGGCTGCGATGTTAGCTGCGATGTTTATCAATTTCCATAATTTTTCTGTAAACGCAAATGACAAAAGAGCGTATAATACCGACATCCAAACTCTCATTTTAACCATAACTACACATAATATCAAGGCTGTATATATCGAACTTTCAATCAAATTGACTGACATGCGGCCTCGCTCAACAGCGGCCTCGCTTCGTACACTCTATCATTTAGCCTTGATCTAAAATTTCCGGGAGTATGACGTCAACGTAACGGTTAATCTCCGCTTATGACGCCATTAAAAATTTAATCAATCAATGAAATCCTGTTTAAATCCAAGCCGAATCCAAGCCATCCGTGGGTCTACAGAGTTGATTTTGTGCTTGTGTAAATAAAGATCTAATTTATAATTTCTATGACATCTGAAGCCTAAATAAAGACTTGCAATAATCAGATTTAGCTCTTGCATAATGTATGTTTAAGAAGTTATTATGTGCGCAGTGAGCCTAAAATAAATTTTGCAGTTTAGTAGTTTATTCTGTAAAATATTAAGCATGCTGCCACCAAAGCTGGTTTGAATACTTTTTGATGCAGGTACCCTTTTCTGCGTGCTCACTTAGTCTAGTGTGCGACATTTTAATGTGTGTACAGTAATGACTTAATGTGGTTATTTTTGGTCTAGTACTTATATTATGTATTAATGTGTTTAAAAACGTTATTTTCTAATTCAAAGGAAACAATTATTATCGGTTTTTGTTGACGTTCGAAATGAAAATGAAATGAGAGGGGGGGGGGGGAATGGGGTTGAACGTCCACTCGACAAATCAATTAATTTACCATTTTTTTAGGGGGGGGGGGGCCCTGAAGAAAACCTACAAGGTTGGACAGACGACCCTACTCCATGTCACATATAAGCGGGGGATCGAAACAGAGTTCCCCCCACACACACACACACACCACCACCACGCCAATGTGTACACGGGACCTCGTTTTTTTATACCATCCGAACGACATGTTGCCCCTATGCCTTCTGTCCTACACCACTGACAAGGGGGTACCTCGCCAGAAAATGTCCAATGAACTTCGATGAAATGAAATAAAATAGGGTTTAACATCCTACGGTTCTGCTCCGATTGGGCTAATGAAGACGGACATACGCCATACAGTGTGCTATGAGGACAATTGTGCCCAAGGCCTCTGCTTCTATCGAATTCAAACTGCCAATTACGTGCAAGCCAATTGATAGCCTCGGTTTTTCGTCCCATCCGAACAACTAGACAGCTGTCCTTGCTAAGCCCTCCGCCCTGTACCGATGAACTTTCTCGGCCAATACAGGGATCAAACATGTGACCTCCAGTTTAGTAAGCCAGCGTCTTACCCACTTAGCCACCGTGGCTCCAAACTTCAATGATGTTAGAGAGCAAACGTCCTACTCACTGAGCCACCCTAACTCCCACTTCATTTCGATTCCGGACACGAGACCTCGGTTTTTTTTTTATGCCATCCGAACGACTAGACGTGGTCCCTTGCAAGGGCTTTCCTCCTACACCACTGAAGTAAGAGAGCAAACGTCCTACTCACGGAGCCACAGTAGCCCCCCACTTCATTTAGTTTCCAGACATGGGACCTCGGTTATTTTTATTCCATCCGAACGATTATATGTTGTCTCTTGCCAGGCTCTCCGTCCTACACCACTGCCAAGGGTGGACATCGCCAGAAAAATCATGATGAAAATGGCGGCACATACCTAGATTTCTTATAACAAAGGAGTCTAGGCCTACGCACTTCAACTACGTAATATTTTAGGCCTATGAATAGTAAAATTGAAGAAATTATTATATGATTCAGAGGCCCTTTTCTAAGCATGCACATTATATACATATGTACAGCTTTATTCGGATCACGAAGGATGCAGTAGGCAAACTCATTTTGTTGATCTTTGTTGAAATAGATCGACTACAGCCATTTTATTCAGTTGTAGTTGTATCAAATTAAATAATCCCGATTTTTAAAATAATATTTCCATTGCGAAAAGAGGTATCTACTTTTAAGATGTCGGAATTTTTTTAATATTTACTTTCCCAGTCTTATATTTATCTAGGTCAAACTACAACATGTATATTTGTTGGAAACTTTCAAACGTGTGATAAAATCTACTATAAGGACTAAATTAAATATATTTTTGTGGTAACAGAGCTTAGACACATAACAAATTGTACACACACGCAATAAAATAATATATAAATATCTACAAATTTTGACCAAATTTAAATTGGTTTTAAAGGCTAGGTAAACGGTACCTGGGTTTCAGTGATGCTTTTATTGTTTAATTGGACTTGATCCTCACTAAATATATTATCTTAAAAGATAAATATACCTACTGTTTTACTTCTGCTGTAGTGCTGATTCTCTTTTGGGATGACCATTTTAATTTATCCTTAGTAGGAAGACTGGGATGATAATATGTACAAAATTTATTTCTACAGGCCAATCCAAATCTGCAAGGCTGTAAATAAACATGTCCTTTAAATATCATAATTGTAATTTTAACTTCTGGCATTTTGTTAATCGGTCTGTCAATAATGAATGAATGAAATGTTGTTTAATGGCACGTCAGCTCCAACCGGGTTATATTGCACCAAACATATGGTGAATTTAACAAGACAAATTAAAATAATATCACAGAGATGTATTCATATATGTAAATAAAAAAAATATCACAGAAAATATAATTAAGAATAAAAGTTTGTCTCTTTTAACCAGCGGCTGCCAGGCAGGATATGCCCACTTTTTGCAAGAGATGGATAGGGAACAAGCTAAAAACAAAAACGATTTTTGTTCAATCAAGGGCCATAATCAAGAAAGTTATGGTCTGAAATGCGCAAATATCAAAAGGGACTGAGATTTTTGGAATATAAAGATATGTTTTAAGTTTCATCAAAATTGGATAAAAATTGTGACCTCTAGAGGGTCCATAACCTTAGAATTACATACTTATACAATTTGCATACAAAGAGCGGCCATTTTGTCGGCAGTTTCATTTCGATTTTCCTAAAATTTCAATTCAACATTCATTATGGTGGAATAGTTATCTAAACGGTTTTTAAAATCGAAAAAAAACAGCGGCTGCCAGGCAGGATACGCCCACATTTTCGAGAGATGGATAGAGAACAAGCTAAAAAGAAAGTGATTTTTCGTACAATCAGGGGCCATAATTCAGGAAGTTACTGTCCGATATGCATGAGTATGGAAAGGAACTGAGATCTTTGGGTTATAAACTTACATTTCAAGTTTCATCACAATCGGATAAAAATTGTGATAGACCATATTTTTACGCTATTTGAGAACGAAGGGCGGCCATTTTGTCTGTCAGTTTTGGGCCGATTTTCACGAAATTCGAACTCAGTCATCCTTAGGGTTTAACTGTGATATAATAATAAGTTTTTCTCAATCGGATAAAATCTATGACCTCTATTGGGTCCACAAGCTAAAATCACAATTTTTCGTACAATCAGGGGCCATAATTCAGGAAGTTACGTTCCGATATGCGCGAATATCGAAAGGAAGCAAGATCTTTGGGTTATAAACTTACATTTCAAGTTTCAACAAAATCGGATAAAAATTGTGACCTCTATAGGATCCACAACCTTCATTTACCATATTTTTACGCTATTTGAGAACGAATGGCGGCCATTTTGTCTGTCAGTTTTGGGTCGATATTTACGAAATTCGAACTCAGCCGTCCTTAGGGTTTAACGGTGATATAATAATATGTTTTTTTAAATCGGATAAAAATTATGACCTCTATAGGGTCCACAAGCTAAAAACGCGATTTTTCGTACAATCAGGGGTCATAATTCAGGAAGTTACGTTCCGATATGCACGAATATCGAAAGGAATCGAGATCTTTGGGTTATAATCATACATTTCAAGTTTAAACTAAATCGGATAAAAATTGTGACCTCTACAGTGTTCACAAGATAAAAACGTGATTTTTCGTACAATCAGGGGCCATAATCCATGAAGTTACAGTCTGATACATGCCAATATCGAAAGGAACCGAGATCTTATGGTGATAAACCTATATGGATGGACGGATAGGGGCGACGACAATAAACCCTTTATTTCAAGTTTCATTGAAATCGGATAAAAATTGTGACCTGTAGACTGTTCACAAACAATTGTGGACGGATGTCCGGACGGACGGACAGGGGCGACGACAATATACGCCCACATGGGTTATAAACATCCATTTTAAGTTTCATCAAAATCGGATCAAAATTGTGACCTCTAGAGTTGTCCACAAGCTAAAAAGGGGATTTTTCATACTATCAGGGGACATAATTCATGAAGTTTCAATCCTTTACATGCCAATATCGAAAGCAGCCGAGATCTTTGGGATAAACCTATATTTCAACCTATACGTTCAGACATATAACGACGACAATATACGTCCACTTTAAAATGTGGGCGTATAAAAATGTTAGCACCTTATCATATACCTCTGGTTGAACAAATAGCTGACGTACTGACTGGTAGCGGTAATATTTAGACTTGAGATGATTGTACTCGAACACATTCTGGTTGAGTCTCGCGCTTCAAAATGAAAATGTGAGTAAAGCAGGTATGACCAATGCGAGAGCGACATAAAACATATTATTTTAAATAAAATTAAATACCAGCGGTTGCCATGTAAGAGATGCATGCCGAACAGGGGAAAATTGATCAGACTCATCTGCTCATTGTTTTCAGACAAAAGATTATTGATGAGAGTATGAATACTCATCAGTAGGACCAATGGTATTGTAACATGAAATGTACTTACAGTTGGATGATAAAATGAACAGGTCATATTAGAACAATTAGGATAATATATACATTGTTTGGTAGTAGAAGACTCTGGTGGGAAGGTAGAAGGTGCTGCTACTAGAACTTGATGATGAGGTATTGCTACAACTGAAAAAAGCAATTATAACATTACTTCATTAATACATTTCTTAAACCAAATCTGTCCATGCTACCAATAAAATTTCAATAAAAATTTAAATAACATTTGTTCATTATAACATGAGTCCACTTACAACGGCCTAATTGTTTGGGTGTCGACAAAAGTAGTCAAATGCTAGTGGTCAACATAATTTGCATATTGTTAAAGGTCAATATGTCCTAAAGTCAGGGCTCACACTGTCGGTCGCCAAAGTCGCAATTTGTGATAAAAATATGTAAGTGGCGATTAAAATTTGATTTTGGCGATAATTTTGGTGATAATGTTTCGAAATTACTGGCGATTCTTTTTGAGAACTGGCGAAAAAAAATCTTCAAATTCTAATCGTATTTATCCTGGACTAACCATTATTAAGTGGCAATCCCATGGCGGGATACTTTAAATTAATCAACTAGCTGATAATCCGGATCGCGTCAATGAGTAATACTAATCAGTTGGTTTGGATTAATGATTAATTGATTGATAATTGCCAATGATATATATAAAGAATATCTCAAGTTACCATTTACTCCTAATGATTAATCCAAGCGGCGATTATTTGATGTTTCGTTTCGTCTTAAAAAGAATGGTAATACATTTAATCAAAATGGCCGACAGTTCCTTTTGAAGAGAATTAATTATTTTGATATTTGAATTCCGTTTACAGTGGTTTCATATATGGCATGTAAAATATACAAGTATGCATATTGGATATCATTATTTCAAATTATATTATTACCACTGGTTGAAAACGTAAGAACGAATTGAATAGTGACGATTCTTGAGCGAGAAAACAGTTCGCCATTTGTATCATATTACCATCGCCAAAATGCTCTGAAAGTTAACGACAGGTATATTTGTAAGCACCTTTTACAAATATAATTGAAATTTATATCCTTCTATCAGGGATTCAGATTCTGATACCTCTACGGTACCTGAAAATAAAAATTTGCCCCATTGTACAGTAACACATAAATTTATAGAAAATTAATTGGCAATCTCTGGATGAGATTTGACGTGTAAATACTGAAAACATATTGTGCAGTACGGTGCTCAAATAGACTAAAGTCACCAAAAATAAAATCTGATTATATTAAATCTAAACTTTGCCAAACTATTATGTAAAGACAGATTTTTAAAATTGTTGTATATTGTATTGTATATCGGTAATTTTTTTTTATAAATCTAGCGGAGACATAACATTGTTAGATGTTGTCTTTTTTATCACACATTTTTGGCAGATAAAATATTCCAGTTGGCGGGAAAAAATATGAACATTTTTTTTATATAAAAATTATCATCAATTTTGGCAGAAAAAAATTGAAAGTCAGTGTGAGCCCTCCCCAAAGTCCAAAAGCAGCCAAATAGTTTAAAGATGCATTATGTAAGATTTAGATAAGAGAATACAGTTCTCGCTATATTAGTTTAACCATCAGTTGCCATGCAAGATATGCCCACATTTTGCAAGAGATGGACAGAGGGCAAACTAAAATGTGATTTTTTGTATAATCAGGGGCCATAATGCAGGAGAAGTAACGGTCCGATATGCACGGTTATCAAAAGGAACCAAGATCTTTTCGATATAAACATATATTTTAAGTTACATCAAGATTGGATAGAAATTGTGACTTCTAGAGGGTCCACAAAAATGGTTTTACATACTTTTACACTATTTGCGTATGAGTAGCAGCCATTTTGTTTCAGTCTGATTTTCGATTACCATCATTAGGGTGTAGCGGCAATTTTTCATACAATCTGGGGCCATAACCCATGAAGTTACGGTCTGGTACATGCTAATTTCAAAAGGAACCAAGACCTTTGAGAGATAAATCTATATTTCATCAATATCAGATAAAAAATACTATGACATCTAGAGGGTCCACAACCTTGGTATTCAGGGCTCACACCGGCTTTCAATTTTTTTTCCGCCAAAATTGATGATAATTTTTATATAAAAAAAATGTTCATATTTTTTTCCGCCAACTGGAATATTTTATCTGCTAAAAATGTTTGATAACACCTAACAATAAGCTAGGCTTATTATAAAACAGTGACTGATACATATAGGCGAAAGACCGAAGAAATTTATTGTTCAAGTTCGTTGCAACAACCTCTGTGGGAGATTTTAATTTTTTAAATTACACGTCTCTTTGTACTAATTTAAAAAAACAGATCTCCACACATTCAGCATGTGCCAGTGTTTAATAATTATTTTTTAAAAATGGAATTCTTTTTAACCTAATCACCTAAAAAATAAACATTACACGCGTAGGAATACACACTATGGTCAATGCCGAGTGCCATTTTGGCCAATCAAAATAAAGAAAACTTCTAGCCCCGATCCTTCAATCATGGCGTATATAGTCAACAAGGACACATTTTTCTGGCATTCTGACCAGAAAAATGAAGTGCCTTATTCATCAGAATGCAACACAGCCCTGCAAGTTACTGGTTTTTAACGACAACACCTGGAGGCATTGTGTGGAATATTCAAAACAGTGGCAGACTTTGGATGGAGAAGAAAAAATTAAAAAACATTGCAATCACGTATCGAGATGTGTTCGAACTCGAAGGTATGCTTGTATGTTATTATTAGTTATTTTATTATTATTATTTTCTTAGTCTTAGTATTTAAATTTTTTCTAGGCTGTGAGTGTTCACGTTGGTTGTTAAGAAATATATAAAGTACTTGTTCACAATACATGGTATCACGCAAACCAGTGGTGGGCAAACTTTCAAGTTTTAAAACAAAACCGAAGCCTAAACTGGTGAAAGGCAAAACATTTTTATGAAACATAACTAACAAATTACATTAGTCATTACTTACAATGTCAAGGGTTATGAAATATCATTTTCAATAAAGTAATATTAGAAATATGGAGTACAGCACATAATATTTAAAATTACATTCTTATTAGAATCATTTAGTCAGGTTCCATGGAACTTTGTCAAATTTATATTCCGTATTGGTCTAAAACAAAGCCTGCCATCTTGTGGGAGCATATTCTTTGAATGGCATTTAGTAATTGGAACATAATCAAAAACACACTTTTATGGATAACAATTACTATGGTTTATTTCACTGCGACGTTTCAACAAAATGAAATTAAATGGGGTTTAACGTCCTACTGTTCTGCTCCTAACCTGGGCTAATGAAGACGGGCATACGCCATACAGTGTGCTATGAAGGAAATTTTGCCCGGACAGCGGCACTGCGGCCTACTCTTATATCGAATTCCAACTGCCAAGGGATCTTTTACGTGCATGCCAATGTGTACACGGGACCTCGGTTTTTCGTCCCATCTGAACGACTAGACAGCTTTCCTTGTCAGCCCCTCCGTCCTGCATCTCTGACAAGGGAGAACCACGCCGGAAAATCTGGATGAACTTTCTCGGCCAATGCAGGGATCGAACACTCGACCTCCAGGCTAGCGAGCTAGCGTCTTACCCACTTAGCCACGTGATCCCCACGTTTCAACAAGGTTTCACAAGTCGTTATCAAGCATATACACAAATAGATAAAAAATGAGAAAGATATGAATATAAATACAAACATCAGTGCAAACTATCCAATGGAATGCAAGGTGAGTGAGCATGATTAGCTATAATAAGCTATTGATGTAACAAAGGTGCATAATCGTATATATTAGAGTTGGCTTATTGTACAATTAAAAGATGAAACAGGGGATTAACCAAGATTAACAATTTTTTTTTTTTTTTTTTTTTTTTTAATCAATTAGTACTCTTACAGATAACACCTAATGCACCAGAGCTCCAAAGCTATCACCTAAATTTATCTCAGATAAAGTAGCCTAGCTAAGACTCCAAAAAGACTTCTCAAACCCAGAAAGACCACTAGATACTACAAAGATCATCTAGTCCAAAAATAGATTTAAGGTTGTCTTTGTTTTTATTCCTTCACAAGGTATAAGGTTTATTTTCTTTATATTTTGCATTCTTAATTTATCTTATTTTATTTTACTTTATTTTCTTTAATTTACTTTATTTTCTTTTCCATACCTCCTTCCTCAGTGCTTTATTATTAGGATATTGTTAGGATATTATTTTTACCTTATTTCTATATATTAGATATAAGCTAATTTTCTTAAATTTTCCTTCTATTTCATATTTCTCCACTCCTAATCTAATCTATTTTTTTGTTACTTCTTCTTTTTGCCCCTTTTTTCAACTCTATATACCACCTTCCTATCTTTATTTATTTATTTAATTATTTCTATTTTTCTCTATTCTGTATCTATTTAATCATTTCACTTTTCTTTCTATCATCTACTAACAAAGAAGCTCAGTGTACAAGCCAATCAACTGATTGAACTCGTCACAAGCTTCTTAAAACAATAACAAGCTAATTTATTTCTATAGCTAATAAGCCTGATAATTGTTAAGTACACCCATACAAGCAATAGGAACCCATAGTTAATTAGTATTAATTACACTGATTGACTAGCGTTTCTTTGTGGAAAGGGGTAACAACAGTTATATCAGCTTACGTCATTAATTAACGACAGAATACATCCTTAACCAACACTGTTCAGTCACTCCTTTTGTTTTCAATTTTACTTTTCGGCAGCATAAGAACGATGGCGACAGAGGCTAGTCACCCATGTCAATGGCTGACGCTTTTAAAAGCAGCCCTGCACCAAAGTTCTTTCCTGCGACAAAAAGGAGAGAAGAACAGACCCACGTCGTACTTGTGAGGCCACTGGAAGGTAAGTCCTTCCAAGGAGCCAAACTTATGGCCGTGGGAAAGGAATTGAAGAGTAAGTGGGGTATTATCAACATACCTGACATAAAGATCACAGTGCCGGGATATGTTAGACTTGCCCTAAAAAGTGGATTTTGGTTTTTAAAACGTTCTGTTTCCTAATCAAAATACGTTGAAATTAAACGATAAAAATAACCCCTCAATAAAGTTCGTAAAAACGTTATATTTCCATGTTACATGACAAAAAAT